GTGAGAAAGCAAGCCACCAGGTCCAGGACTCGAATCATGGTTGGCCGTGTGGGAACCCAGTTCCCTTAACCACCATGCCCTCTGCTGACCCCTGGAGAATCACTTTAATGATCATTTCTCTCTTGCTATTTTCAAGATTCTATTTTTTGCCTTTGCCTTTGGACAGTTGATTATATTGTGTCTTAATGTGGATCTCTTTGAGTTTTTGTTTGTTTGTTTGTTTTTTGTTTGGTTTGGTTTTCTCTTTCTCATTTTATGATAGAAAGCACACTCACGAGAGAACGGAGAGTGGGATAAATACCCTCCACAGTATCTTATTATACCACAGACTTCTTTCCCCAGCCTTACAGCTCTTCAGGATACTCGGCACCCACGCGAGCACCAAGTGTGTTTTTCAGGCTGATAGAGATTCCAAACCGTGGTCCTCCTTCCGCTTCCATCACTGCGTTACTGCTGTGCCACAGTGGCGGGACCATTTTTTAGTGTATCACACTTGTAGCTCATGGAACTTCTTGGATTGTTGTTTTATATTTTTTACCAAATTAGGAACTTTTCGATGATTATTTTTTCAGATCCTCTTCTTTTCCATTTTGCCTTATTTCTTTCTGAGACTCCCATTATGTATAGCGTATTGTTATCTTGATAGTATCCCACAAGTCTCTGGGGCTTTGTTCATTTATCTTCCTCTTTCTTCCTTTCTTTCACTTATCTCTTTCATGAGAAAGAGAGAGAGAGAGAAAGAGATATACAAGAACCCCCAGGGTTCCACACTCTACTCCCCAACCCTCTCAGCCATCCAGGATCACAGGCACACATGCTGGTGTGCACACTTGACCAGGGCATGGGACTCATGATCCTCCACATGGCCCAACCTTGTCCCAAGAAGCACATCACTGCTACACGAAGTTTGTTCATTTTTCTTTTTGCTCCTCAGACTTGATCATTTCAACTGCCTTATCTTCAAGTTTGCTCATTGTTTCTTCTGACAGCTCATATCTAATGTTGAGTCCTTCTTGCTACTTTTTTATTATTATAATTTTCTTTTTTTCTCTTTGTTTTTTTTTTTTTTTTGGAGAGATTTTGCTATAGGGCGCATGCACTCACCAGACAGACAGAGAGAGACAGAGAGACAGAAAGCGAGAAATCACTCCCCAGGGGGGATGGCCACGCCGCAATCCCTTCTCCTCCATTCTCCTCTCGGGCTCTTGGGCACACACGCACGCACCCGGTGTGAGTTTAAGCCACCGGGTCTGGGACTCAAACCACAGTCGACTATGTGAGAGTCCAGCAACATAGCCATGACACTAACTGCTGGTCCCGTATTATTGTAATTTTCAAAATATCTATTCAGTTCCTTTTCCATCCATTTATTCATATTCTCTATATATTGGGACTTATTTCTCCTGGTTTATTTGATTCTTCATTCATATTTTCCTTTAGCTCTTTGTACATGTTTAAATTATTTTTAAATTATTTTTCTAATGATTGCTCAGTCTGTGCTTTCTCAGGAACAATTTGTTTCCTTTTTCCTTTTTTTTTTTTTTTTTTTGGTCAGTGTTTTTTTTTTTTTTTTTTTAAGGTTTTTGCCATAGGATGTGTGTGCTTGCCAGAGGGAAACACTGAAAAGGAAAGTGAAAAATCATCACCTGCCCCCTGGCGGGGGATACATGCTTCATCCTTTCTCTTCCATTTTCCACCTAGGATTTTGGGCATGCACACATGTCCAGCATGATTTTTCAAGCCGCCAGGTCCAGGATTTGAACTGTGGTCGGCCGTGTGGGAACCCAGCACCATAAACACTACACCACTACTTTTTACTTTCAATTGGACATATATTCATGTTTCTTTGCATGCCTTATAATTTTTTGTTGAAAATTTTTGATGCGTTAACTCTGGAAATTAGACTCACTCTCTTCCTCAGGATTTCTTGTTGTTGGTTGCTATGAATTGTAGTTATCTGATTTTTTAGTGACATTTTAAAATGATTTTTTAAAAGACTATATTCTTTGTCCTCTGTGGTCTCCGAAGTCTCTATTTATTTAGCTTAGTACTCAGCTATTTGTTTGACTGGGAATTTCTTAGATATCTGTAGAAAAAAGGAAAGAGAAGAGAAAGAAAGGGGAAAATAATAAAACTCACCAGGTCTTTGCAGATGAGCTCTGTGTTAGGGCATTCCTTTCATGTTTAACCAGGCCATTTACAGCTCTGCCTTAGCCATCTCTTCCTACTTGTACTGAGCAGAAAACCAGCCAGAGATGAAGCTTGTGTCTTTCTTGGGGCTTGTCTCAGAATGCATCCTGCCCTTGGCAGAATTTTCCAGATACCCAAATATAAATAGGAGTTTTTCAAAGACTTTATTCCTCCCATAATCTTACCCCTGGCTTTTCCCCGACAAGCTTTCAGCTTGTCTATTTTTTGCCCCTACTATTCTTTTTTTGCCCTAGGTAGCAGCAACTTTTTCATTTGCCTTTCAATTTTTTTTTTTTTTGAGAAGTTTTTGCTGTAGGGCACGTGCACTCACCAGACAGAGAGAGACAGAGAGATAGAAAGCAAGAAATCACACCCCCCTGCCCCAGGGTGGATGGCCACGATGCTGCAATCCCTTCTCCTCCATTCTCCTCTCGGGATCTTGGGCATGCACGCACACGCGCCCGGCGTGAATTTAAGCCACCGGTTCCGGGACGCGAACTGTGGTCAACTACGTGGAAGTCCAGCGACATAGACAATACACTAACTGCTGGTCCCCCCTTTCAATATTTTTGAACCACACCTTTCACATCACTGCTTGTCTGCCCTGCAATAATTCTGAATTAGGAAAACAAAGGCATTGATCCTTTAGGAGCCCCCAGGCAAGCCAAATCATACAAACATAATTTCTTAGGACAAAGTCTACTCTGCTCTTTCCAGAACCAAGTATCCATACCAGGAATCAGAGCTGACAAGGGGAGTAGATCTAGGATAAAATAAAGGAACTGGATGGTGGCACAGTGGTAAAGCAACACTCTTCAAGGCTGGCCCACATGGAAGATCTTTGTGTTTGCATCAGCTGCCTCCTTGAATACTCTGGGGTGTGCCTGCCCATGATCCAGGGTGGACTAAAGCTGTGGTAGATATCAGAATCAGGATCCTGTTGGTGCTTGTCTTTCTGTCTCTGTCTCTTTTTTTCTTTTGTTTATGTAAGAAAGAAAGAAACTTAAAAATAAAGTAAAAGAAAATAAAGATTCTCTACCTGGTTTCAGTGGCCTTTCTCCTGGTTAAGTATTTGCTTGTTTGCTGTAAACCTTTGACTATCTTCTTTTTTCAATAAGGTGATTTTGTTTGTTGGACTGTTTGGGTTTTGTCTGTTTGTTTTGTTTTGTTTGTTATGAGGCATGCGCCCATACCAGATAGAGACAAGAGAAAGCCAACAGAAAAGTAAGAAATTATCCTCTTTCCCCGGGGAAATGGCTATGCTGCAATTCCTTCTCCTCCATTCTCAGAATTTTGGGTGTGCATGTACATGCACCCAGTGTGATTTTCAGGCCACTAGATCTGAGATTCGAAACACATAGTCCATCATGTGGGATCCCGTACCATAACCTCTATGCCACCTGCTGGCCCTAGTTGGTTAGTTTTTAATCTTTTTGGGGAGGAATGGATGCAGAGCTCTCCACTGTGTCATTTTTGTGAATTGGATTATTTTACAACTTTTTAAGATAAGTTGTAGCATGGTAGTCAAGGTGACTGGATCCAGTGTGACTGATTGTATGGTTCAAGTCCTGGACCCGGTGGCTTGAAAGCAAGCCTGATGCTTATGTGTGCTCAAAATTCATGAAGAAGAGAGAAACAGAGGAAAGGGATTGTGGCATGACCCTCTCCCACAGAGTATGCTTTCTCACTTTCCCTTTCTCTCTTTCTCCCCCGTCTCTCTCCAGGGAGCACACACACACTGTGGCAAAAAAATTTTTTTTAAAAATTATTTTTTATTTAATTTTACTTATTCATTCATTTATTTTAATGTTACCAGAGAAAGAGAGCGAGAGAGAGCAGGAAAGTGAGAAAGCAAGCCACCAGGTCCAGGACCCAAACTGTGGACAGCCATGTGGGAGTGTCCAGCGCCTTAACCACCATACCATCTGGTCCCCCCCATGGCAAAATTTTTAAAAAGAAAAAGAGTGTAATGATGAAATCAGGTAAAGTACCAATTAGAGTACCTTGACTGAGTAGGCAGGTGATGTAGTGGTTAAGAGCGCTGGACTCCCACATGGCTGACCATAGTTCGAGTCCTGGACCTGGCAGCTTCTTTTCTCACTTTCTTTCTCTCTCACTCTGTCCATCTCTGGTCAAATTAAAGAAAGAAAAAGAAAGAGAGAGAGAGAGAGAGAAAATAATTCTTAAAAAAAAAAAAAAAAAGGTCCTTGACTACAATCCCTGGTAGAATCTGGGTTCAAATCCATACCCTTTACGCTCTAGTCTATCCTCTCTGTTCTTATTTTATTCAGTATTCTGGGAATCATTTTTCCCATTACTTTACGCCCTACTCAGTTAAGCTCAGATCTGTATCCCCAGCTCCTACGTCTCTGGAATGACGGATACATGCATTTCCGACCGCTTACAAACAGTGCCATGAACTTCAAACTCAGCAAGTCCTGAACTAAATTCATTATTTTACTCTCCCGTTTCCCTGATTCATAACTTCCCCCAAAAATGCTTCTTTCCTGCTCCTGGGAATTCTCTTCCCTCTCTCTCTCTCTCTCTCTCACACACACACACACACACACATACACACACACATTTAAACAACAGCAGCAACATCCATCCATCTCCCATCTCTCTCAAACTTGAATTTAAGAGCTATCCTCACTGGCCAGGTCCCGCCTGAAAGTCAAACTGAAAGTCGGATACACTCGCGCTGGTCCCGGAAGGGAAACCTGACCCGTGCCTGTTCTGCTCCCCATTGCCGTTCTCGGCGCCGCTCGGAGACTGTATCCGCTAGTGGGCGCCGGTACCAGTCCTGCGCAGCCTGGCCGCACCCTGGCCGCACCGGAAGTCTGCGCCTCTGGCCAAGAGAGCCCGGAATCCGGAAGCACTCTGGAATCTGGGGAGAGCCTGCAGCGCCGGGAATCAGGGGTCATCTGGAGTGAAGAGCGTCTGGAGCAGGGAGCTCCGGGATCAGCGAGCGCCGGGAGCCGGCCGGATCCTCTGGCAGGGGCGGGGGCGCCGCAGGGGGGCCGGCAGGTCCCCTTCCC